ATAAAAAAAGATCATTTTTGGTACCCAAAATATACCCATTTTTCGCTTTTGGTATCTCACATTCCAACTTAATAAATTTTGGGAACCAACATTATTTAGCTAGTTCATAATATTTAGCTCAAAGCCTCAAACCGTTAATTCTTCCGTCAAATACTTACAGCCCGGAAAAAAGTTCGTCAAAGCCATCGGAAATTCAAGAGTGGCAAAATAAATCATGAAAGTTAAAATAAAAAATGGTATTTTCCGCGCCAAACAGGACTGTAACCTAACCGTAACAGGGAAATTATTCTTAAATTTGCACTTCAAAGTCCCACTAGTCAAGAGAAGAAAGACTAAATAACACAAAATTAGCCAGTACAGTTTGAAAATCGAAGGCATTCTTTCATTTTTTTAATTTTTTTTTCCCCTTTTTCCTCTCTTTTTGATTGCTAATTGACTACATACTATTTTGGGAGGCATCAAGTACTTGCAGAAGTAGAAGTGACATAATAAGCTACGGCAAAAAGCTCATGAACCATTCACGATATTCCTAAACCATAGCCTCAAATGTTTTTCCTAAACCAAAAAATTAAGCATTATGTCCAAAAAAAAAGGGAAAAAACTGTGAAAATTGCCACTGTTTTCTTATCAGCATCTTAAATTATTTCATTCTCTAGTTCATCTTACGTCTCGGTTCATTGTTCATCGATTAACCCGGGAAGGGCTACGTGAGCTTCTAGTAGTTTACCAAATAAATTAATAAATCGGGCATTTCTTATGGTGGAACCTCTTAGGGAATATTTATTTATGGATTGCTGGCTTAAAGCCTCTCATTACTCAAGCTGTTACAAAACAAGATAAAGCAATCCAAGTTGAACTTAAATGCTCATAAAAACGACTCATCCACTTCAAAATTAATTTGCATACTGGGCCACACCTTTACCTGTGTTAAATTCAAATATACAATAATATTATGTAATATTTTCTTGTTCTAAATTCAAATGTGCATTATCTAATATTTTCCTGTCCTAAAGTTTGNATTAGAAGATAACTGGTGCATTTGCATGTGTGAAAATATTCTACTTTGTTGTATATAATCATTGAACTTGAGCTGCCATGCTCTTTTCCTTTTTTATAACCACATCATGAAATTGCTTTCATTATGCTTGCTAATTTGTCACCTTGTTGAACCAAACAAACACTGTCCCTAACACAATTTTCAGTTTGATTTAACATTTTTCTTTTTACCACAAACAATAATTCAGTATTTATACTTTTGTGTTACCTATATGGGAAGATGGCAAAGTGCAGTCATCAGCTTGGTTGAGAATTGAGATACTCTTAATAGCTCATAAGCTTTCAGAAAGCATATTTTCATGTTATTTCATAAAACTTTTAATCAATTCTCGATGACTGATAATGCTTAGAACGAGCTATATATTAAGAAAAAATTACAACTTTTTTTCTAAACAACTGATAGTTTTCTATTATTTTTACATTTTCAGGAAAAATATATGAATTGGAAAGTACTTCGTTATTAGCTAATATATTTTATAAATTTGTTTTTAACGTCTTAGATATATTATATTTTGGAGATATATTTAATATTGCACTTTCTAATTTTCATTTACATCATTTTTATATATTTCATTAACGTTCATATTGGAAAATTAATATTCCATGGTTGTTTCAATCAATTTGGATAATTTTGTGTGAGATGGGACAAAAAATTATGCAGCAATTAGTTAAACTAATCAAAGTACCATATTATATATGCAAATATCAGATTTTGACAATGGATTAATAGTAGTGCGCTTCGAATTTGTCTGTTATCAAAGAGAAAGCAGAAATATGCTGGGCGTGGGCTTGATTTGACAATGCGGCCCAAAAGGCTTCATATAACCAAAAAGGACCCAGAAGACTTTGACAAATCACATCACTTTTTCTTCGAATTGGGTCAATTCGTCATTTCGACACACGTGCCCTAACTCGATATGTTTATCAATATTAACAACGTAATTTCGAGTTTTAACGAACCAATCTCAAATTTTAGCGAGCTGATGTATATAAAATTATAAAAATATATATTTATATTTTCAAGTCTCAACGAGCAGAATCGAATCGAGTTCGTCTCAATTGATTCATTCATCAAATAAGCCAAAACTACACTCATGAACGAAATAACTCCAACCTAGCGATGCAGTCTTTATCTAGTTGAGTAGAACTCGACTCATTTAGTAGACAAGTTGAAGCATATCTCATTTATCAATACTAATGAATCGAACCTAAGCCTTAATTAATGAGTCGAACTCAGGCTTTAACAATCTGAGTTAAATTAAAACTTAAAAAATTTACATGAACAACCTTATTATCGGGGCTTAACGAGCATAGCAGTGTCGAATTCACTAACTCATTCTGTCTAATAACTCTAAGTAGAGTATCGTAAATTAATAATAAAAATAATATATAATAGTTACTTGCACCATGATTATAATAATAACGGAAGAAGAATAAGATAAAAGGCAAAAGAAAATTAGAAAAGGGTTCAACAACTAAAACAGAGAACATATGACTGTAGCTGGGGGGTGACGTCATGGTCGTCCCACTTCATCAAAGAATCCTTTTCATGCATGAACGGTGATCTGATTCATCTGAGTATAAATTAGTTAAATGGAAAATATCAATTTCAATACTCAGTAATGCTAATTTTAAGGTCAGTATCATACAATTCGTATTTAAATTTCAGTACCCTAACTGTAAAACAAACTAGCGATTTTAATACCCGACCGCTTAGTTTGACGATTAGTTTTAACAAAAAACAATTGAAAAAAAAACAATTGAAAAATTATATATTTCTCAAAATATATTAAAAATAATAAAAAAATAAATCTCATTTATTTTATTTTTCTTTTACTTCTAAAAAATATGACTATAAACACTCGTTGTATTATATATATAAAGAATTGAGTTCAAGTGAGAATGATGCTTAGTAGAAAAATAAATAAATGCATTTTAGACAAAATTTGATGATCCAATGTAAAAAAAACAATCAACATTTTTACATTTGTTGACATCAAATTTTGGTCTCGCCTCTTAAAATATTACACGTGGATATATGTATTAAATAAACATAAATATAGCAGGTTATCTGAGCTGATTATTTAATATCGACCGAGTTCCGAAATGCCCAGATCATCCACGTTCGAGCCGATCAGAATTAATATCATCAGCCCGACCCGGATATCGAGAATATCCGAGTCCGACAGACACAATAATTGCCGATAAAGTAGACGTTAATCGAAGCCGTCAAGTGTCACGATCGGGCCCCACGGCGTCATATCACATTAAATACTAGTGTACCCCTTTTATCTATTTCTTAATGGCCCCACTTGTCCCACTTGTAAAAAAGAAAGACATGTATACAGTATATATAAATATGGGGTAGGAAAGAAAGAGGGGGGATGAGGCACTATTCATTCATCTCCTCTCTACAAAACAAAATTAATACAAAAACATTCTTGATTTTTTCATCTTCAATATACACAATCGATCGAACACCGATTATTTACGAAATAGGGGTGTTCAATTTCGTTGATACAAATCCGTTTATCAACAACATTCATTAAATGTATTTTTGGCATTTTAGCCAAAACAAAAATACGGACCCCTTATCCTCCGGTTCTCCTCCCCTTTCACACACACACACTGCACCACGGCAGGTCTTTTTGCTCTCACCGGTGCGCATTATGGTCATTGACGACCGCTCGAAGAGCAATTAGACCGGCTCTCCACCGTGAATTGGCGGTTTGATAATTGAAATCAGCCTGCTCAAGAAGCTCCACCGCGTCTTTCCAACGATCAACTTCCACTGTGACCTTCCTCCTGTCGTCGCAGCCCCGAAACCCCGGCGCAGAACTTTCTCCTACCGTCATAGCACCGATTTTGATGGCGCCGCGATGGCGCGAAGCACGGGAGTTCTGATGGTGTCGAGGATGTCGACATACAAAAATGTATCATCGCCTCCTAAAATCGGGCTGCTCCGATGGATTTGAAGCTCAGAGCATCGACGAATAAATCTAATTTGGGGCATGCTGATTTTTGAAAATTCATATGGAAGACCCGAGCTAAGTGCACTAAGCGGTGAAAAATATTAAAATAATTGTCACCTGTAGCCTAATGATGAAGGATGGGACAAGCCCACCAAACACCTGTCAGCCTACGTGTCGTAGCCTAATAAGGTCACCTGTCGCATTTAATACGTGTCTTTTCCATTTAATGCTTGATGTACTGCCCAATAAACAGTAGCTGAGTCATCCCTACTATAAATAGCAGTAAGAATTACTTGTGAAAAGGTTTAGAAAGTTCTTTGCACTCAAAACATATATTCTCTCATTTAATATGAACACCCGAATTCTTAACGCCTGAATTTGACCTTGTTATATCACTTATTTTCTCTTATATTCAGTATATTATGCCAAATTTAAAGTAGGCTAAATATCATATTAACCATACTAGTCTATCATTATCGGTTGATCAAATTCGTTGGTCTAATAAATATATATGACATACTTTTATTGATGTTATTTAAGCAGGTAAACAACAATATTACTTATATTGTTCGATTGTGGACAAATTAATTTCAATCATGCATGCTCTTTCTTTATTAATCTCAAACTATTTAAGAATTTTTTTTTTTCCCAAAAAAAATAAATAATTGTGTTTGCAAATTCAGGCATGGTACAAATAGAAGAGACAAAATAAAGAAGAATAAGACATCANCCAATAAACCGTACCATCATAATAATAAAAAAAATAAAAATAAAAATCATTTTACTTGAATTCTCACCTGTCATATTTCTTTTTTTAAAAAAAATGTATATTTTTATTGTAAAATATCATATTTTTATTTACTTTATTTTATGGAGTATGATATATATTTCAATTTTAAAATTTGTATATTTGTTAAAAATGTATGACTGACTAAAAAAAATCGTTTTTCATCCATTCTAATGTGGAGGGTCTAACCATTACGTGGATCAATCCGTCACTCTTTTATTTTATACAAATATTCATACTTATAACATTAAATGTCATGCTCTTTTTTTCTAGAATATGACATTTTTAATTTTAAAATTAGTATATCTATTGAAAAAATATGATCATATAACCGTTTCTCTCCAAGTATATTAAGGATGGTGTATTCAATTTCAACTTTTAGAGACTTTTTAAAACTTTTAAAATTCTGGTGTATTAAATCGAAACTTTTAAAGGCTTCTGAAAAGTTTAGACGTATTCAATTGAGACCTTTAAAGATTTTTAAAAAGTCTTTAAAAGTCTCAAGGTATTCAATTAAAACTTTATGAGAGTCTCTATAAGTCACCATGTATTCAAAATATGAAGACTTTATGAGACTTTTTAAATTGTGAGACTTTTAGAGATTTTTCTAACAAAATTACAAAGAGAAAGTCCCAACAGAAATCTCAACAATATTGGTGAGATTTTGCTGGACTTATGTAACTCTCTTCACGTTCCCTTTTTTTCTTTCTAACACGGCTTTGTATTTCATATCACTTTCATGTTCTATTATTTTACTCATTTATTTTGATACCTTGTATAATTTTTATTTTTATTACGTAATTTAACATGATCTTTATTTTATATATTTTTTATTATGGTTATTTTATGTATGTATACCTTTATTCTTTCATTTTGTTATCTTGTGAATTTGATTTTTCAAAGGTTAAATGCTTCCGTAGTTTACACTTGCAAATATTTTATTTGTTCTCTCTTTTTATTTCTCAATGTTTATATTTTAATATTAATAAAATTATTTTATTTTCTAACAGTTTATTTGTTGATATTGAATTATTTTGAATATTATTGATAACTTTATAAAATACAATTACTGTTTTTCGACAATGTTTGTTCTTCCATAATTAGACTCGTTGTTATCCTAAATAATTTGTTAGTGAACAACTCATTTCGCATAACAATGAGTTGATTCATAAATTTTTAGAGGATTAGTATATAAAACACTTGTTTTCATTTATTCTTCTTGATATTAATTATTATGTTACATTTATTAATGTTTCATTCAAACGTAATATTATAACTACAAGTATATAAAAGTCTCAATAAATTTTAAAAAGTCTATTATGAAAGTCTTAAAAAGTCACAAATGAGAATTCTCTGAAAATCTCAACAAGTCTACCAAAATCACAAAAGTTTCATAAATCCACAAAAATCACCAACTTTAAAAAGTTTTAAAAAGTTTTTAAAAATCTCAATTGAATACAAGTATACAACCCTAAAAACACAATGTATATTTATTATTAAAATTAGTATATCTATTAAACACACTTTAACTATTAAAAAGTATGTTTTTTTTATAATCAACGCTTTTTAAAATAACAGCTTATATTCAGTAAATGTCAGGGAATATATCCCAGTAGGCGCAGACCTTCCTGTCTAAACCTCGCGCCAATCACACCTTCTGTTCCTGTTCTCTCTCTCTCTCTCTCTCACACACACACACACAATACGCACATGTATCGGTGAGTGTTGTTGATCTTACAACCAAACTACTACTATGTTTGCTTCGTACTCACTCTTTGTCCCTCTCCCAACATTTGAGAAATTAGCCTCTGCAAACTAAAATTGACTACCCATTCCTCGCAAAAACCAAGAACAGCCCTTTTCTGCTTGTCGTCTTCTGTTACGTCAGAATAATGGTCTTTTTAACGCTCTGTTTTTTAAGGCCATTTTGTGGCATCCTCAACCTTATTTTGCACTCTTACTTTTAGTTCTGCTGCCAAAAAAGAAAAAAACCGTAAAGGGTGTCTCAATTTGAAGTGGCTGACTTTTTTTAAAAAAAAAAATTGTTGTTTGATTTGGGCGATGAAGGTCAGTGTTCTTGATCTTGAGGTGGATGTCAATGGAGAAGAGGTTTTCGCGGTGGATAAGGTAAAAAAGTTTTGTGGATTTTGCTTGGTTTTGCTCTTAATTTTCTGCTTACATTTTTTATCTTTGTTTTGAAACAACCTTATCTGTTTTCGATTTCTTGTCCAAAATTTGTTGCTTGCTTTTCATTAATTTGTTACTTTTTTTGTTGTTACAGTTTTGGCCCTTTCTGAGTGTCTTTTAGTGTAATCTTTTAGTGTAAGGTGTTGGGAAAAGTGGATCTTGGCCTTCTTTAGCTTCATCACTGACTTTCCTTGTTCTTGAATGTTCTTCATGGTGGCTTGTGCCTAATTTTGTGGCAGATTATGATTTTCTGTGCATTTTTCTGTTAATTCATGACATGGGCTCTTATGAAAATTCATTATTCATAAAAAAAAATGAACAAATCTTTGTGCACCCCAGAATATGATTTCACAATTATTACCATTAATTCCTACTGTCCGTACCAAACCATCTTTAAATTATTGCAGCTAAAATATTGCTGGATTTGTGGTTTGTGGGGTTTTGGTTTATTGATTAAACCACCTATTTTTAATCACCTTACCTGCAGGATACTTCACCTATTTCTTTCTTTCTCTTTCTTTTTCCCTCTTTATCTCATTTATTGTCCCTAGTTATGAATATTGATTGTTCATGCCTTACACTTCTGATTCTTTTCACACTTTTTCATTAAAAAAATCATTTCAAAATTGGTGGTGTTCTTGTTCCCTTCTTTGTAGGGGATGTGGATAGCCTCTTTACCTAGGTTTTATTTTGGACTATATTATTTAATGTTGTGTACAGCTACATCTCACGTTTTCTTTAATCAGTCTATTGATCCTAAACTCCTAACTATAGTCTTGTATAGATCTAGTAAACTTCATTATGTTCATGAATTGCAGGCATTTACTGATATTAAGGTAGTAAAAGTAACATATGTTCCATTCCTGACACAATAATTTTTAACTGACTACCCCAGAGGTTTAGTCTAATTGCCAAGAAGCCCACTTATTTCAAAAATCCCAATTTCCTACAGAAGTACAGAACATCTCCATGTGAGGGGGTACTTTGGAATGTTATATGCAATTATTTTCAAAGGATAATGTAATTAAGATAAAACTCAGGACCAGTTTTTGTAATTAGCCAGTAGCCAGCCTCAATGCAACTTTAGCCTTTAGGCCTCTTCTTTTGTCTCCATTGGTACCAAGTTGATCTTCTGGCTTACTTACTTTTCAATAATGGACTAGTTTTATACTTATGAACTTTTGTAAAAGCTTCTTTCCAGTTGTGTTGTGTAAGTACTGTTGTAACTTTCCTGATTGACTTCTCCTAAATCATATATCACCATAATAATTTCCTAATCGATCTTTGTTATTTTCTTCTTGTAGAAAGTAATCTCTTCCTATTCGGAAAAAATTAAAAAAATTGTCATGAAGTCAAAAGGTCCAACGGTACGGCTAAAGGTGATATTCAACGACTTCCCAGGCGGCGCATCGAACTTTGAACTCGTCACAAGGTTTTGCTACAACAATGGCAAAGTGAACATAAATCCCTTAAACATTTCAAATCTCACTTGTGCCGCTCATTACATGGAGATGAACAATTCACCATTCGGAACCGAAAATCTATGCAAGCAAACAGAAAAAGCTCTAGAAGAAGTTCGTTACTGGTCTTGGCATGAGCTTCTTATAGCTTTAAAGCAAATTCAAGAAAATCTACTTCCTATAGCTAGTTCATTGGGCATAATCGACAAATTATTGTATTCTCTCGTAGGACGAGTCGTTTCATCTTTCCAAACGAGCCCGTGTCCTTCAATTTCCTCCTCTTCGGATAGCTTATCGGTTAACCGTCTATCGTCAGACACGAGGAGTACCGAGAGCTTAAAGAACGGTATTTTCATAACATGGTGGTTCGAGGATATTGCGGCATTACACACTTATTTAATCCAAATGCTGGTGAAATTAATGGTGTCCAAAAATTTCGATCACGGTATTATTAGTAGATTTCTATTTAACTACCAAAAATCGAGATTTGCTTCTGCCTCGTCCGTGGACAAGAAAATCGAAATCATTGAAAAAGTTGTTGAGATGCTCGATTCTTTGGATATGAGGTCTGTACCATACAAGAGTTTATTCGGAATACTTAGACTCGGATTGAAAATGAATTTGGGCAAGTCTTGTAGGGAGATGTTAGAGAATATGATCGGTTCGCAATTAGATCTTGCAACGTTGGATAATCTGCTCGTCCCATGTGCAGCTCGAAAGAGTATGTGCCTTTATGATGTGAATTTAGTTATTCGATTTTTGAAGTCGTTTACTAGCCGTGGAGCTTGTTGTGTGCCTTTGAGCCGGCTGAAAAAAGTTGCGGGCTTGATGGATTTGTATTTAAGTGAAGTTGCTCCGGACCCACACCTGAAGCCGTTGAAGTTCTTGGCTCTAATTCGGGCTTTACCTGATTCGGCACGAGACACTTGTGATGGAGTTTACCATGCAGTAAACTTATATTTTGAGGTAATTTAGATTTTTATACTCAAAAACTCTCTTTCTATGCTCAAATGCTTGTAATTTATCGAATTTGATGTTACTAGAAAAGAATATTAGAAGTTTCATAGCATTTTACTCTGTTTCTTTGTAAACTAGTGTATACCCCGTGCGATGCACGGAAATAATATTAAATTAACAATATTATAAATAGACCTCGAGTTTGAGTCACTCAATGATCGAAGTGGAAACTACTATTGATCCTATTTAAAAAGAGGAAGCAAAAAAAAAATTTATAAATTAAAGAGGAAGATAAACAATACTTAATAATTATAAATTAAATATTCGGGGTCAAACAATGTAAAATTATTTTGTATAAGATAATATAAAAAAATTTGATTATACACCATTTCAAAATTATTATTATACTTTTTTGTATGGTTAGCTTATAATATTTGTAAAAATATCAGTAATTAGACCGATAAAAATTAACTTTTTAAAGTAGATAATGGATTTTCAGTAGTAATTATGAATTGATTTCTATTTTATTTTATTTTTTCTTTTTAAAGATAATGGATTTCTAGTAGTAATTATGAATTGGTTTCTATTTTATTTTATTTTTTTAAATCTGTATAGATAAGGGATGAAATTTTTTAAACACGGGAGACGTATGCAATGGGATTTTGTAACAGAAGAGATAAGCGTGTAGATTTATACTAAAAATAGGAAAAAGAAAAACAAATATTTATTGTCAAACAAAAGTTTTGATAAACTACAAAAAATGAGCCGATTTTTTTGCCTATTTAGATTTGTCCAACAATTACTATATGAGGATATATTTATTGATTTTGGCGGGAAAAAGTTTTTACATTTGTAAAAAGGTTATTCTTTTTATATAATGATAGATGTTAAGTCAAATTAAAGGCCGAGATTTTTTAGTCCGTTAATATCTTCACAATGCAGGTTCACACCAGCTTGTCCGAAGAACAAAAGATGAAAGTCTGTCTTGGAATAAATTACGAGAAGCTATCTCCCGAAGCACTTAACCACCTTGCACATAATTCAATTTTCCCTCCAAAATCCGCCGTTCAAGCCCTCGTTTCTCAACAGCGCAAGCTCAAGAGCTTGCTCCAGAAAAACACGAATCAAGTCACATTTGCCGATTTTTCTCCTAATACAGATTTTGAGATGACTTACAAGGAAAAAGAAGACGATGGATCAAAGCAGATTGTACTTTATGCGAAAAGGCTTAGTATTTGTGACGAAAATGAGAAGCTCAAAGCACATCTGCAGGGCATGCAGTTTAGGGTGGTGGAATTGGAAAATCTTTGCAGGAAAATGCAAAACCGCATGATGAAGATGATGAGATCAAGAGTGCCGAGCGAAAGTAGTGTGAAATCTGTGCCTAAGATTTGTTCATAGGGATGAATAGAAGGTTTATAATTTAGTTTTTGTAATAAGACAAAAAGGTTTTGGTTGCAGATCCCAAGTTTATTGCATATTATGTTAGAATTTGTACATAGCATGAAAAATTTGTNGTGTGTAGCATGGTGAATTGTCATTGTCCATTTCTTCTGTTGATAAATGGAGGGACACTGTGGTTTTTCAGATAATGAAGCTTTTTGGTTTTGTAGAATTAACAGGATGAGCAAGAACTGTCTATTTATTCTTTATTCTTTCTTTTTTCTTTATATCTTTTTATTTTTTGTGGCTCTTTTATTGGTTGCAGAGTGTGTTTATTCTCTGCAATGTGGTTTATGCCACTGCTCAAAGTGAGGTTATTTTCCTTGCTTACAGAGAATTGCACCAAGGTTATGTCCCTCTCCATATTGTTCTCTTGTTTGGACAAATGTGTACTGTTATATTGTATGGTCTGTGTCAAATAGTGAGTCTCAGGCTTTATTGGTAGATTTTTTGAATTAAATTGTGGATTACAATGCTGTAGTATTTAAATTTGTAGAGGTTGTGAAAACTTGCAATGTAATGTGATGAACTGGAGTTCTTGAATTCTTATTTTGATTAGTTTTCTGTTGTGGACAATTTGATGTTATTCAACAGTCAACTAATTGGATCATCAAAAAACACGAGTAGGAACACTGAAACAATGATATTTTTGTTATTAAATAAATAACTGGAACTATACTCAGTGAAAGTCTTGAGTTAAGAAGCATATAGATAATATCAATTTGATGTTATTTGTTGTAGCAAAGTATATTTTTATTGAGTACGAGATAATTTTCGACCTCGAGTCAATCTCTCGAGGAAAGCGGTTCGGAGTCTAAAATGGGTGTTGATCACATACAAAAAGAAAATAAAGTTCTAAACATTTTAATCAAGATTGAGCTTTGATTGAATTATCTAAAGACTATCAAAACAAATAAATAGCAATAAAATAACTAGAGAAGTAGCAGAAGTTCTAGAGCGTCGGGAAATCTCATCAAGTCTTAAACATATGATGAACGTTATTTGTTCCGTTACATAATTAACAAGGCTGCACGTCTAGAGGTTTATGTTCAATAACTATTCGTAACAAGAGCACACGCATAAACGACAAACTCGTTCAATCAAATAATACATAGACAATATTTTTACGAACGAGTCTGCCCTGTGTATGCCATGGTCTAGCAATCTATCACCTGTGCTATTTTCAATGATGCATTGTGTTGTCTTAAAATTAGTGATAGCAATCTATAAAGTGGATCTATTTTTCATATATAAACGAAGTGGGACAACTCACAAGTGATATTCTAATACTTTGTCCAACAGAGTAACAAATGTGGCATACTTCCCATTAATTTTTGTAAATAACTTATCTCAAGCTTATTATTGTCTTCATGTAAAGTAAATTTGAATTTAAAATTCAGCTTATTTTTAAAAAATTAGTTTCTTTTCTCCCTTTCTCTCTCACGTCACACGCATAGCGGCATAGGTGCCTAATCTTTGTTTCTGTTTCCTGTTTTCTGTTTTCATCTATAATTCTATCAAGTATCAAATGAAGACAGGCTTAAGTAGTATTTTGACTTTCTTTTTTATTGAAATATATTATTAATTTTATTTATAAGCTTTTCATCTATAAGGCTATCAAGTATCGAATGAAGACAGGCGTAAGTAGTATCTTGACTTTCTTTTTTATTGAAGTATATTTTTATTATTATTTATAAGCTCGAAGTAAATGTAGCCTATTTTAACGTAACAAACCACTACTATTTGGGCTCCTTTATTATATCAATTGGTGCGGAGAGTTAAAGAAGCCTCTGGGTTGTATATTTTAAGGCCCAAGCTCAGATCACTACAAATTTGCATCAAGTGTTTTTTATCCCATGAGATACACACACAGTATTGTGCTAAAATTTCTAGTATAGTAGTATTTCATAAAATAAAATGTATAGATATGTTGGTGTACTATATATTTTAATTTTACAGCATCTAAAGGAGATTTCAATATTCAAAATTTCAAAGTGAAACAATGCATTTTGTTCCCTATATTTGGCACCATGAAAATTTGCAATCTGAGTAAAGAACACTCGTCTAAAAACTTGAAAAATACTTCAATCGCCCCCATATATTCAAAGTGAGAAACCCAATTGTTCCGATTTCCAACGCGATAATTCACAGGACTATGCATGTGGCTGCATAATCTTATTGCAATTCACATAATATATCGTTTGTTGTTCCGGATAATTTAAATTCATTAATCATAATAATTAAGTGGGATGATAATATGATATTGGTCATCTGTAAATTAAAGAATAATTTGATCACCTTATCAAGTAGGTAGTAGCTATTATCGAAAAAAAAAATATAAATTAAAAAAATAAATATTTATGCGAGACGATTTAACTGTTAAGAGGGTCAGTCTATATATTGTGTGAACAAAACTACATATTTATATAATTAAATGTTGTAATTAATTTATATTGTCTTTTAAAGTATGTGATTTTTTTTCTAATGAAAGTATGTACATTTTTACAAAGAGTATATCAAATTGAGTTGTGTTGCGCACTACGTGTTCATTTCATAAACGAGTCCGATTTGGCTCGACTTGTTTAACAAACTCAAAATTTCAAATAAGTTGTTCGGGATACGACTTGTGCATTCACAAACATGTTAAATTTGGTTATGTGTGTGGAATATACACAAAAATAATAAAACAAATTATTTGCGAATGAATTGTCATTGCTCATTTAATAAACAAGCTTGTAGTTGTTTGAATGATCACCTAAATAATTCGAACATAAGTTTTTAAGAGTCGAATCTAACTTTACATGTCGAATTGAACTATTCACCAAATTGTAGCTATATTTAATTGGAGAATGGAAGTGTTGCTACAATTCCCAAAAAAAAATTCATTTCTAACTATATATATAAATATTATATCAAAATATATTATAAAAAAGAGATTTTGCCTGCTCTAAATATTCTCCTTTTAAGGTTTTTTTACCCAAAAAACAAAATTATAAGTTAACTGGACACAAATAAAAGCAAAAAAANATATTCTTTTTATTCACGTCCTCCCTAGCTAAGGGGGTGATTGGATATGAATTCAACTAGTAAAAAAATAGTTTTTTTTGAACTATAGTTAAATTTGAAAAAAAAGTAGTATGGTTAGTTGTTAGTGGATATATTAAAATAATATTTAAATTAAAATAATTAAAGTTGATTTGATGTAAAAGTAGGAGAAAATGATTGGAAGTGATGGTTAGTTAAAATTATGTGAGTGTGTGAATAGTGAATTAAAGTTGATGTGATGTGTAATAATGATTGTTTGATATTATTTAATTATATTGATAATATTGGAGATAATGGAGTTGAGTTAAAGTTGAGTTAAATTTGAGTTTTGAGTGAGATATTTACTGTAGAAAATATAAACAATCACGCCCTAAAATAGTTAATCTTGTGTTACAACGACCTAATTATTATACCGACATATTTATTTTATAAATATATATACTTTCATTTGAAAATTACGATTTAAAAGGCATAAAAAGTATGCTTTCTTTCTTTTTTTCATAGTATGATGAATTTACCCTCATAACCACGTTACACAATTAAAATTTACAAGTACGTGAACCAACACAAACCTAACATCAAAACACGCATATCAAATTTTTACCATTTTTGAATATACATTGAATGAATTTCACTTGCCATCAGAGTTAATGGGCAAAAACTTTACAAATGATAAAAGTTAATGCATGCTTGGATATAAATATATCTAAAAAAAAGTAATCTCGACTCAATTTTAACTATTTCTAACTGTATACTTAATATTTTCAATATAATAAAATAATATTAATCAATAATTCTTACACATCACGTCAATTTTAATTTAATATGAATCCACTCACATAATTTTAATTATTTATCACTTCCAATCATCTATCTCATACTTTTTACATCAAATCAACTTTAATTATTCTAATGCAAACTTAAATTTCCACTCAAACTTAACTTAAAAAGAAATTTTTAAAAATTAACTCTGGTTAACAATAAATCAATTAAAAAAAAAACAAATCAATTAAAAAAAACTAATATCCAAGCAAACCCTTAATTTCTCAATACAGGCAACATATATCTATGTTTAAATATTTTAAAGATGCCCAAATTATTTATCATCATCCTTGTTATTTTATTTTCTTCCATTTTGTATCCCCACTACAAATATATTAAGACATTTCCCCAAGTTTTTGGGAAATATTCTCACTGTTGTCTCTAAATTTTGTCTGATTAGATTGCAATAATTGGGCTCCATTGGATGAACCATTGGTGGTGTCAAATCATTCTAATTGAAATTAGTTCACAATGAACAATTTATAATCAATGTTGTAGTAATAAAATAGAAATGTAATGAAAAATACATTTATAAATTTGTTTGGGAGGAAAATCATTGAAATCTATTATCAATGATTTAACCACACCCGGCCCCTAGGCCCTAGATATATTTTTCATTAGATGAATTTAAATGCATTATGGGTGTTGTATGCAGTAAAAATTATTTTACCAGTGTCTATTTTAGCCATTAGTTCAATACAATATCCTAGTTCAATACAATATCCTAGAGGTGTGTGAATGTTTGTTAATTTGATGACTAAACTTGCCGTGGGTAAATATGAGTGGATTGTAGTCATTAATTTTTTTTACCATTAAATCAATACCCACACTATAGTAAAATTATGTATAGTAATAGTAGTAAAAATACGTGTATAGTACTATAGATTCAATGAATCAATTGTAACTACAAATAGTCACTCTAACTAAGATGATGTGAAATGTACCAACTAAAGTTGAGATCTTTTGTACAGATATCAAAGCAATAAATGTACGTACAGAGAAGTCATCCATTGAGTGACGTTTGATCATCATTACACCTCCTTAGAAAATAAACCCCATCAAATGACTATGCATTGTTTGTATTTATAGTTTTATTTCCTAAAATACAAATTCGTGGCCAGTTGTCCATTGTAGGTTTACATGAGATTTTTTAAAACAATAATATATTTATATTCTTGAATTTTAACATAAAATACTGTAGTCTTATACACCA